CACGTGGCCGCTTTTTGACGGACTGTTGTGTTATTGAATCTATTGTACTGAGGAAGATAGATTTGTCCAATGATTTTTTAAAACCAAAGGGCTGAAAAAGAAGGGACTGCATTCGTTTTTGTGAAACCAAAAGAGTTGGAGACAAATCACGCTACGGAGCTTGCCAAACAAGCATACTCAACTGCGATGACCTACTTCACACAAAGGCAGAATCAACGCATTTTTGGAACGATCTCACTGAATCCGTGCCTAATCTAAACCCACCAGTGTGTTATGTGTGGTTTTCGGTAATTTTCAGCCATGACACATGAATTTCCAGTGACTGTGCATGTGCTGGCTTATGGAGGCGTGTGAGACTCCAGTGGTTACAAGTGGTGGTATTCCTAGTGGTGTAGCGTGGTGGTATTCCCAATGGCGTAGCATGGTGAGATTCCCAGTGGCGGCATGTGGTGGTCCAGTGGCAGCGCATCCAGCAACGTGTGAGAGCTTGTGTGATATGAGCCCGAATTATTTTAAAATCGAGCCTAAGCTATTTTAGAGCCGAGCTCGAGCTGTTTTGAATAAGGCTGAATCATTTTGGGTCGAGCCGAGTCGAGCTACTGCATAACAAATCCGGTTTCAGTTTGGAACACTTATTGGCATTCTTTGGTACTGATTAGAAGGATGGCTTTTCAAACCTTTATATGTAAGTTGGACATGTGTGATATATCTGTGACAACTTAATGGGGGGTGTTAACTACCCTATTTTATTATTTAATTAGTTAAAATGATATAATTAGAGTTCTACTAGAATAATAATATCATGTAATTAGAATTTTAGTAGAATAAGAATTTTCTTATCAATAGGTTAGGAATTCTATAAATACCTTAAATGTAACAACTTCAAATATGCGAAATAAAATTATTATTCTCTCCAAAATCAACTGATATTCCCTAGGTTTTAAGAGATGACCAAGAGCTAATAAGGTATGTAAAATAAAGAAGACTTTATATGGATTAAGTAATCATCAAGAGCATTATTTGACAAGTTTGTAAAGGTGATAATAAATTTTGGATTAAAGCAGACTCAAGGAGACTATAATCTTTTCATCAAACACTCAAAGACAAAGGAAGTTACAGCTCTCCTAATATATATTAATGACATTATCGTAATAGAAAATCATGAGAATGAGCAAGGAACACTAAAATAATGCGTAACAAAAGAATTTAAAATCAAAGAACTATGCAAGTTGAAGTATTTTTTTAGAAATTAAAGTAGTTCGCTCTAAGTTTGGGATTTTTATTTCTTAAAATAAATACATTCATGACCTGTTAAAAGACATTGACAAGCTAGTACGCAAACCAGTTAACATTCATATTGATTCTAATAATAAACTAAGAATAGTAGAGGAAGATAATTTAGTAAATAAAGAAATATATTGAAGATTAGTTGGAAGATTGATTTACTTGTCTCACATAAGATCAGACATCGCTTATGCAGTAAGTGTTATAAGCTAATTCATGCACAATATGAAATAAGTGCACCTACAAGCTACAAATGGCAACTTGCAAGTGTAATAGTGGTCGACAAGGTAATAAGGACTTAAAAAAATAAGCAAAAAGAAATAGAAATAGAAATAGTGAGAGTGTGAGAGATTAATAGGAATCACACTAAGCCATAGGTTAGGGATCTTTTCAAATAAGAATGTTATATTTGAAAAAAGTGAAATAGCTCGTCAAGTGCGATATTCCCACTGGGCAATCACTATCGCCTGTAATACTTGTCGTTTTTCATGAGGTCGCCTGTGAAGTCTTACCTAGTGAACCCTAAGCTGCCAATACTCCCTCAATGAAGCTTCTTAGTATACAATTCCTTCTTTTTGGAGAACAACATTGTTTTATTCATGAAGGATTTACAATTGGGAAGTAACCAATAATCTCCCATAGAATTCAACTGCATGTTCTAAGTGGAGAACTATAAAAGCATAATTCTGTGATGTTTTGATGTGTTGATTGAATAAAAAGATGAGATTTGAGTTATGTATTTTTGGGAGAAAACAAAGAAATGAAGATTAGAATAAATAATGACGGATTTGTAAAAATAGGATGCAAATTTCATATAATAATATCTTTAGGATTTTTTTATCTTATTACTATCTATATTCTCAGTTTTCTTTATTAATACTTTCACAACTTGATTTCTTGATTTAAATGTCAACAAAAATATTTTTTGGTTTTCTGAAGGAAAGACTAAAAAAAAAAAGAATTTCTTTTTAAAGTTTAGAATTTTGAGTTGCTTTAACTGTTATATGAAAACCAAACAATAAATGAAAAATTAAACTTTTTCCACTAAAAGATTAACGTCATTGTGTTAAATCATATTTTGTAAAAAATTAAAAGTTTGGGGATTATTTTGTAATGAAAATAAATATTTAGTACTAAAATAGAAAAAATAGATTAATAAGAAATTAGTTAAACCATTAATTAGAAATCCATTTACCAAGGCGATGATCAGGCTACTTCGAGATGATGATCATCACAATGGGGCTGAAACATGATTCAAACTCTTACGGGAGGCAACCGTGGGGAATTTTTTATAATGTGCGAAAGTCTAACAAACCAATATCGTGTGGAGGTAGAAGGCCCATGGGTTGTGAACTTCTTTTCCCAGATAAGAAGCAACAACGGATGCCAAAAATAAAAAAAAAAAGGTCTTGGACACGTGATGGATCTTGAAGTACTATTTTTGTATCGCCTTTGACCAAATCTACCCACATTAAGATTATCCGTTAATGGTTGATCGAGTTTGATGGATTCGCCTTTGGAAATAAGAAGTTCTAATCCTGGGGGGAGGGGGACAATATCAACCACTTAACATCCATTCGATGCATCGAGGCCTTATAGGCAGTGGTTTACCTTGCAGCAGATATCAATAGTTCGAGTTTGCTTATCTTCAACTCGTAAACTTAGTCGATATGAAACTATATAATAGGGCCAAATTTTTCTGATTCAGCAATTCGATCTATGGCTTCTCATTCATAGACATTGATAAGATAAGATCTTCCCATTTAATAGTACTTTAGGATGACATAGCCTTCAAGTGAAAGGTGAAGTTCAAACAAAGAAAGGCTTACAATGGATACCTAGGCACCCAGAGACAAAGAAGGCGTAGTAAGCGACAAAATATTTTAGGGAGTTAAAAATAAGCATGGATCTAGAGATTTTCGAATAGGTCAACATTTTGAATAGCTACTGA